AATTCAATTTTATTTGTATAGCGCCAATTCATAACAGAAGTTATCTCAGGACACTTTTCAAATAGAGCAGGTCTAGACCGAACTCCTTATAACATTTACAGAGACCCAACAGTACCACCATGAGCAAGCACTTGGCGACTCACAACATTTATTATTTGTTCTGTGATTTAATCTTTACTTTCTTGTGAAACTACATTAATGAATAACAGAGGAACACACATCCTGTGATTGTGTGACACTAATTTTTCTCTCTGATTGGCTAAACTGACCTCTGCAGGAGGAGCTGACTGGTGTAAAGAGCAGGAAACTCTGTGAGTTTCAGATTAAAGAACAATCAGTGAATTGTTTTTTATGAGAGAGAAACAGACGATACCGATACCCAGACGACACCATCTGATCAAACTGAAGCATTTATTTTCTGCAGTGTATGGTTGCAAGATAAAACTTTATTTATTGAGTTAGATAAACCTTTTAAGATATTTTGATGAGTTGTGTTGACGTAAATATTTTCTCACTAATGGGGACAAATTGCTAGCTAATGTAGCAAAACACTGTCAGATCAGCTAGCTCAATGAAACTAACATTATCACTAGCAAAACACTAGTTATTATAATGAGAAAGTTTCTCATTATATTGATGTTTTTTTAATCATACGGGCAGAAATGGGCTTCTATGAGTCAGACTGAAAAGAACAAACAAACAAATATTTAGTTTTTGTTGATAAAGTTTATTCTCAGTGATAAAAATACTGTTTCACATTTCATTCAGTCATCATTCACATTTTCAGTCACGTTTCCTTCCAAAAACTTTCTTTTTCTTTCACATTTTCAACACAGACTTTTTTCATTTCACCTTCGAAACACTTCCTCAGTTCAGTCTTTTATCTGTAATCTGTCGTCTTAATGCAACACAACTGCAAATGAACAACATCTGTGAATAACTATATGATGAAGAATAATTAATGCTCAGTAGTACACTGTGACACCAACGCCTTTAAATCCTACAATCGTATTCTCAGGTGTTAGTTTTTTTAAAATTACACAGTAAATCCATCCGGATTAAAGTTAATAAATAAATAAATAAATAAATAAATAAATAAATGCTTATAAATATATTATAAAGTGTTTTTCAGTCTTTTAATGTAAAAGACGAGTCTGAACAGCAATGAAGCTGCACAGAAACTAGTTCCTCTGAAACAGTTCAAATTCTCAAACTTCTCCATGAGTTCAGAAGCTGATCAATCAGAAACGGATTGGTCCAGAAATGTCACAATCAGAAACTCATTTTGAAGCCAGATCCTCTCAGTCCTGGTGTGTGCACAGCGTCCCGGCCAGCCGGTCCCAGTGGGTGAAGTACGGGGCGAAGTTGTACTTGGACTTGAGGTGGTGGAGGTCGTGGTGGCGGGCCCCGCCGTACAGCCCCAGCGGTACCAGGCGGTGGGTGGCCCACGGGAGGTCGTAGCCACAGTGGTCCTCCACCGACAGCCAGATGTTGACCAGGAAGAAGGCCAGCTCGGTGAGCGGGTGACAGCCCAGCAGCAGCGGGTTGGCAGCGGCGAAGAGGCCCAGGCTCAGGGTCTCCCAGGCGCCGGAGTACTCTGCGGTGAGGGCGGAGGTGGAGGTGTAGGTGTGGTGCACCTGTAGGAGGAAGAGGAGGAGTTATTGTTATTGATCATTCTTTCTTCTCTGATGGAAGTTTAAGTTTCCTTTCTGCACTGGAATAAATGATTCTGTGTAGATTTTCAAGGACTTATCAGGTCAAATCTGCTCTAAATAATTATTGTCTTTGATTTTTGTGGCAATTATTCAAATGTTTGGTTTAACAGACAATGCAAAGATGTGATTTCGCTGTATGTGAATATTAAGATGACTTGTAGGAATATGTAGACTGAATTCACTGCTAATCATTGTATTGATACATGCAGTTGATTATAATCCATTTAAATTTGTATTATTTAAAAGATGATGTTTAATTAACAATATTGATTGAAATCTGTTGCCTAGAGTAGATAGGATATATTTTATAGGTTTTCTTACAGTGCACTAAATGATTTCCAATCATAGTTTCTTCTAATCAATAATTGATCAGTGCTTTCAGATTAAAGGTACAAACCTTGTGGAAGTTGCGGTAGAGCCAGGGCACTTTGTGGTGCAGCAGGTGCCAGATGAAGCTCTGAAAGTCGAAGAGGAGCAGGCAGACCAGCACCTGAACAAGCAGGCGAGGGAGGGGCGGGGCCTCCTCGGGCAGGTGGACGGGCCGCAGGTACCAGTGCAGCACCGTGAGGGGGAAGATGAAGACCAGGTGGTTGTAGAGTGTCAGAGCCAGGCAGCTCCGCACTGAGGCCCAGCTGACGGAGCTCTGAGGCTGCAGCTTGTACCTGCGCACCAGGGCCCACCTGGAGGACAGCACGTCCAGCACCAGGAAGGGCAGACAGAAGGACAGATAGACAGACAGCGAGAAGATAACGGGGAAGAATGGTGAGAGCAGGAGGGAGGAGTGTCCCAGGAGGAAGGTCCAAAGAGGCTGCAGCAACATCCTGCTATCAGATCTGTAAAGTCCTGTTTAGTCTCTTAGTCTGAGCTGCATCAGCTGCTTTATATAAAGTCCAAGCCCCGCCCACACTGACTGACATCAGCCTGGTCACGCCCTTTAGGGACTGTTCCTGCCCTCTGAGGAAACTGTATTAATATTTCCAACCAGACAAGATCTGTTTGTTACATATTAAACCATTTGTGGTTGAAACTGAGAGCTAATCAGCTCTTTGATCAGGAGACGGTTTTAGGTCAAAATTAAAATCTAAAGTTTTAAATAAATTTTTCTTATTTAGAAAAACTTTAAAGTTAAAGTTAAACTCTAAGTTTAAGAAACAAAAAGTCTGAACTTTAAACTGATTAAAGTGAAAATCAGTTAATTAATATTTGTATTTAATTAAAAAAAAAAATCTGATTGAATATTGTTTGAAATACAGAATTTTATGCCTCAAAGATTTTCTAAAGAAGAAAAGTAAATTACCTCAACAGAAGATTATTGGTCTGCAAAACTGTTTATTTTAAAACTTTAAAATGTACTGAATAGATACACTTTATTGATCTCAGGTGGGGAGGTTCACTTGTTCAGAGCTCCAGACTGAAGTAAAATACACATAAAAATAAAATAGAAAATAAGAGTTATATAAACTGTATATACAGGGCAGAGGTTGAAAGTAACAAAGTAAAAGACAACTTTCACATTTTGATTTAAATATATGAACTTTCTACTCCTACATTTTAAAAACAGACTCATTACTTTAGTTTGGGAGCACTTATTGATTATTATTGATTTTATTTTTGCATCACTGCACACCTTTCCAACAATAAGACACTTTTAGTACAGAATCAATACTTCTACTTCGAGTATTTGTCCTTCTACTGGAGTGAAGAATGTGTACTTTTACTACCTCTGCATTCAGATACGATGAGTGTGTGAGGAGAGACACACCTTAACTTACCTGGAGCGCAATGTGTTCCAGGATCTTTTTTCTGGTCTTTCTTCATCACAATAAAACCTTATGAAACAACAAGTCTAAAGTCTTTCCCAGAATCTTCTTTTGTGGTGAACTGCTGACCCCTGCTGGACACTACCGTCCTCACAGGCTGACCACAGTCTGCTTTCAGATACGTATATTAAAGCTGAAATATGTCAGAAACAGTTTCTGGTTAGTGAACTTTAAGAGGTTGCTGGGACAGTGGATGTTTATTCTGGTTATTATATTAGCATTATATTTATATTTGCCTTTAAGAGTAGAGGTGGTAATATGGCATAAAAACACATAAAAACCTGAATTACAAACAAAATGTTTATATTAGTTGATGTGTTAAACCTTTACTGTGACAGAATAGATATTTGTACAACCAGAAATAATAATTAATACGAATAAACTTTAAGTTCTGGATTCTCAAGAATGTTTTTGGACAGTTTTGATCCTTTTAAAGACTTTTTATGTATAGTTTTGTAAAAACATTGCATTAATAATCTATTACATATTATTTATTTGCACATTTATAAACAAACACTTTTTACCAGGGTCTACCAGCTTCCACCAGACAACGTATTCAGAGGTGATGGGTCTGATACTCTTCTTTACAGGATTTTAGAGGGGACAATGAATGCATCATCAGACTCATTTTAAGTTTCGTTTCTGATGGATGTCTCATCTGAGAGCTGGGACCGGATCTACAGAGAGAGCAACTCTTATTAAGGCTAATTAATCCTAGTTGTGCACTAATTAACAAATAGCATCGTCATCTGTTAATAAATGAATATTAAATTGTTAATAAATAATAATAAACCTGTTAATAAATAAATAATAAACCTGTTAATAAATAAATAATAAACATGTTAATAAATGAATAATAAACCTGTTAATAAATGAACAATAAACCTGTTAATAAATGAATAATAATCCTGTTAATAAATGAATAATAAACTGTTAATAAATGAATAATAAACTGTTAATAAATGAATAATAAACTGTTAATAAATAAATAAATAATAAACCTGTTAATAAATAAATAATAAACTGTTAATAAATGAATAATAAAGTATGTAATTAAGCTCAGGTTTACTAAAGGTTTAACAATGACTCTATAGGTTAGTTCAACTCAATAAATGTGTTTGTAATAATATCAACAATAATAACAAATCCACAATCAGACAGACAGACAGGCAGGCAGATAGGCAGACAGAGAGACATGAAGACAGGAAGACAGACAGACGGACAGACAGATAGACGGACAGACAAACAGGAAGACAGACAGACACAGATACTGTGTTTGTGAAAATACAAACTTTTTATTCTGTAGGGTTGTTTTCTTCTGGAGCTGCTTGTTTCATTGCAAATTGCTATTAGTTTATGGTTTTGTAGCCAACAACAGCCAATAAACAGCCAATAATCAGCCAATAAACAGCCAATAAACAGCCAATAAACAGCCAATAATCAGTTCTATTTTATAAATAAAATTTGTTAAACATGACTCTGACTGGCTCTCCTCTAAAGCTGTCAAACAATATGCTTGTAAATGTCTTACAATCGAACAATAAACATGTTAATGGCGATATTATAATATAGTTTATATATTTATATATACTTATGTTATTATTCCTTTATTTATCCATTTATTACATTATGTTATTAATTATCTCATTTGTGTGATTTGTTGAAGCACTCTGGATACTTTCCTTATCACCACACAGTTTCTGACTCTTTTTCACATAATTTCAGAGGGGACAGTGAATGCATCAGACTCCAGACTTCAGTTTCATTTCTGATCAACGTCTGATCTGACAGAGCAGCCGGATCAATAACATCATCAGGACTTCCTCTCAGATCAGAAAGGTTTTATTTCAGTATGAGGTGAGTTGGCTTCCGTTCAAAAGAAAATGATTCATGTGATTGAAAATGGTTCGTTTTGTACTTTGTGTCCCCGTGTTTGTAAGTAGTATATAAAGACTTCATTGAAGCTGTAACACAATATAATATGTGAGCACTTACACAGACACTTAGAAGCAGTGGCGGTTTTGAGCATGGGTGAACCGGGCACCTGCCAGGGCGGCATTTTTTCATGACACATGCCACTCGGGGGGGGGGGGGGAGCACAAAAAAATCCTCTGTGCAGCCCAAGTAGTTTTCTATTTCTACTTGTTCTGTTCTGTTCTATCATATCACTGTGGGTAATTGGAATTGGCCCCCCCCGCCCCCCCTGCTTGCTGAGAAGCTTGCGTACACATAAAGCTGTGTGAGGAGGGTGGGGACACGTTCATCTCATGGGTCTCCTAATGGGAACGGGCACCAAGGGGGGGAGAAGGGGGGATCCACTGTAAAGTCAGTCACACCTCAACTTTCTTCCAAATAACCACATTTCATTTATATATATACAGCCTATAATACATTATAATATAAAATAATACAATACAGGCTATATACATTAATGTAGAAGGACATAAATTACTCAGATACACGTAGAGAGTTAATTGAATTTGATATTAACACGTCACAAATGATCTTATTGTTGGAAAGGATTATGCCAAGTGATGTCAAAAAATAAAAATCACAATTAAATAATCTATATAAGTGCTACATAAAACTTAACAAGGAGCCTTTATATTAGTTC